ATACCCCGTTGACAGCGTCTCCGCGTTTTCCCCAGTCCCCGACAGATTCAAACACCGACACCAGACGCCAACTCGCAATGCGGCATGGAAACAAATGCCCCACAACAGCCTGTCGGCGCACAGGCGGCCACCAACCCGGATGAAGACGAAGCTTCAAAGATCAAAAGGACGCAGATCGCATGCTTGAATTGCAGGAAGAGGAAGAGTCGCTGTTTGTTGTAAGTGGTTGACAGCCTGTCGCATTCGCGCATTGAGGTTGGCTTGAACATCTGAGCATGCGCATGTACAGAATCCAGCGCAAATGATCTGTAAAGCTGAACCACACAAGCCGGCCTCGAATTACAATACAAAAAGCTCAGCATACATGTTCCGGGACTGACACGTTGCTGCAGAGATTCAAACAACTCTATTCCGTGCCTTCGATGTAAGCGCGACAACCTCGAATGCGTGTTAGGCGGTAGCAATCGCGGCGGACGGCGGGAGCGAAAAAAGAAACGCGTCGACGAATCGCAACCACAGCAGCAGTCTGAGTCGCAGCCGGAAGCGCAACCACAGCAGCCATTGCCGACGCTCCCGGCGAATGCGCCAGAAAGAAGCTTCCATACTTTGGGCAATCTCGGAACCACATGGTCGCAAGACACTGTTGAACCGCAATACGGCGAAGAACTTCAGGCCGCTCAGTCAGACTCGTCAAATACGGATGAACTCCCTTTCTCGAATCTTCAGAATCCGTCTGATGCCCTGGGCATACTAGCCAGGGTTGCTGGGGAATCGAGCTCGAACGAAGAGAACAATGGAAACAGTAACGGCATTCCGCATGCCAGAGGATCATCTCTCAGCATGCCGGCGCCACCAATTTCCTTCTCCTACCCGTTGCTAGACCGGGGTATCCTTACTGTACATTCGCTTTCCCAGCTGCTTGTTCGATTTCAACAGCAGTATCATCCCTTTTACCCTCTTGCTCCGGCTCATGCTTTTGAAACCTCTCGTCTCTCAGACCTGGTGACTAAAGAGCAGCACCTCCTTACTGCTATCCTCTTAATTGCCTCTAAAGATCTCGTCGATGAGCCGCACATATACGAAGCATGTTCCGAGCATATGAAGAATCTAGTTTCTGCACTCGCTGCAGGAGGCGATGCTGGTATTGAAGCAGTAGAGGCTCTCCTGCTATTAGCCGAATGGGCACCGTATACCCAGCGCGGTTCTGGGAAAGTTGGCAAAGGCGAAGAAGACAAGGAAAGCTGGATGCACGTTGGCCTTGCTCTGAGAATTGCGTACTTTCTCGCGCTGGATCGGTACTCGTTCCGTTTCGTGGACCAATACAAGGATGAAGACCACCATCGCAAGCGCCTCATATGGACAGCAGCATACGTTTCCGATCGTCATATTAGCATTAGGATCGGAAAGGCGTTCTGGTCTCGTGGTCCTGGGCCTTTAACGACTTTGCGAAGAGAGGACTACCCCTCGCTGATCCCTAAGAATCCAAATGAAGAAGACCACGCCTCCATCTTTCAGGCCAACCTGGAACTTACACAGCTCTTCAGCAACGTGCATGATACGCTGTACTCGAATCCTAGCTCAAGTTTCCGCTCACAGATGAGCGGCAGCTACATCAAGTTTATTGACGATTTCCGATCAGCCATGTACGGCTGGAAGAGCGTGTGGGGCACCCTGACATGCTCACCACCTCTCAAAGCATGTCTACTGATGTCGTACGATTATCTGCGTTTATACACCAATGCGTTTGCTTTTCAAGCTACTGTCCTTCGAGCCCTGCCCTCAACATCAGCATCCACAGACTCCCCAGCTGGTGCTCCAGCCAATACCGACATAGGCCGCATGCAAGCACCCCAGCGCGTTTTTGTTAACAATGTAGGAGCTGTGGGCGACGCACGATTCATTTATGAAGGTCTTGATTCTGCAAAGGCCATTCTCACAACTGTCAACAACTTTGTAGATCCTGAGCGCTCATTGCGGTTCATGCCACTTCGATACTATCTCTACTTGGTTTATGCAGGCGTCTTCCTCTATCGTGCTCGCTGTACTGGTGTCATCAGCGCAGATGAGGATCGTGCCATCCGCGCCATGATCAACGAAACGGTAGCTCGTCTACAACGTAGTGCTGTTGGGTCCGGAAGCGGCGTCCAGCACCCAGGTTCTCGTTATTCTCAGCTTCTCAAACTGCTCTGGGCCAAGGTACCGAAGAAGGATAAAGCAAATCGCTCCGCATTTCACCATCCTGGTACACATATTGCCAGCACACCAGTAGATCAGAACGGCTTCCCACAGCATCCGGTTCTGGGTAATCAAACGAGTCCACAAGCCAGTAGTAATGGCACAGGTGGAAGCCCAGCAATTACAGAGCAGATGGGTGATTTTGGCTGGACAGACTTGGGTGCTGTCAATGAATTTGCTGTACATGGCGGTGGAAACAATACGGCGGCTGATGATGCTGCGCTATGGAATGGGTTCCTCCCTCTCGATATGGGGTGGAATGCTCAAGGATTCGGAATCGACGGAATAGTCGACTCTAATGAGCTAGGCATGTTGTTCTAATGATAGAGGGGGGAAACTACGAGACTTGATTACTGCTGGGGAGGCGCTTTTGGACTTCTTGTGCTGGTTGATATGTTTGCTTGGAATTCTCGCATACGCAAGGTGGGATGGAGAGGTAATATCTGATATGAACCGAGTATAAAAATACCATATTCATGAAACACGAACACCAGCAATTGATGTACCGGAAATACTTCACTGCGGAAGATTCATATGTTAAGAGCTGGGTCCTGAGAAACTAAGTTTGTGTGTTTTTGAGGTGGCAAGATCATATACACTATAATCCCACCTTTCCACAGCGCCGTGAATGCAATCCGTATGGTAACAGTGAAATGTACAATATTTTGCCATCTTTTGCCATGATGGCCATCTAGAAACCTGGAGGATTGAGTCGCTGACTGACCCTCGTCCACTTGGGAACCTCTGCAGATCGTCAGAATATATCCTTAGGCGGTTTCCCATGTCCTTCATTGATCCTCCAAATGCGTCTGTAGCGAAATTCCGTAGTGTATGCCACTTACTATGTATTCCCTTGCGATACCTCTTTACTTTCCGGTCAAAAACAGTGTACTTGTCTTTTGGGAGCATCTCCTCCTCAGTCGGCATCTCTGTCTTCCAGCGCTCCACCTTCTTCATGCTTTGGCCCATTCGTCGTAGTGCGGTATCGAGAGTGGAGACAACGGAGTCGACATGTCGTAGACGCTCACGATGGCGGTACTTTTGGTGCCTGGAGAGTCGCCATGGCACTTTCCTGTGTTCCACGTTAGTGTCTCGTCACCGGGCACAATCTGTGAGAAATGGCAATAGTGAGGGCGGAAATGATCGATGGTGGCGGGGGCGAGCGATTGCGCGGGTAAATTGATCGTGGAGAGACGCACCATAGCAGACCGCCCGACAGCGGATTTGTGAGGCGGAAGGGACCGAACATGTTGATGTGTTGGGGTCGAGAGGCCGGGCTTGCGCAATTGAAGTCGCGATATTCTGCGCAGACACTCCCGCGGACTTCTTGGCGAACATCCCGGTTAGCGTGGGGAAGCTCAGCACCACTTCGTTCCCCTTGCAACTTTAACTCTATCACCAACTTCACGAATTTACGAATCACAAACAACCAGAGGAGGATTTTTATACACGACGGAAAAGGTGTCACTGTACCATAAAGTAGAACAATCCTATCGGACCACAAGCCTCTACACCAAGCGCATTCGTGCGCGCATTCACAACACTCCACCATGTCGTACACATTCTCAATACTCTCACCTCTTGACGTTCCCCTGTTTACCCACGACTTTGGCACATCCCGCAGCGGTGGAACTGGTGTTGCAAATTACACGCCAGGCGAACGCGCCCTTGTCCCATTCATCCTGCATTCTGCGCTCGACATAGTCGAAGAAGTACAATGGGGTCCCTCCACGTCTAGCGGCTCTGCACCAATGTACCTCAAGCATATCGACAAGTATCAGAACTGCTATGTGTCATGCTGGATAACAGGCGGAAACACACGCTTTCTGCTCCTGACGAGGCCACGCGATGAAAGCCTAGGGCTCACAAGTGGAGGTGCTGGAGGTGTCAGAGGAAGCTTAGCTGGTGGACGAGCAGCACTTGGTGGAGGTGCCGGACTGTACAACCCTAGTAGTCCCGCCACCGAGGAGGCTGTTAAGAACTTCATGGTCGATGTGTATGAGGCGTGGGTCAAAACTATCATGAACCCTTTTTTCGCGGTTGGAAATGGAGAGGTTATTAAGAGTCCAGTGTTCAGACAAAGAGTTGCCACAGCAGCAAAGAAATATCTATAAAGAGGGAAGAGTAGAAGAAGGGAAAAGAAATTAAATATAGCTCTTACTATGCTATAAGCGCTTGCAACACATCTAGAGCGTATAATGATTTAAGTAAGAGACCTTGGCTCGAGATGGCATGCAAGGAAAACCTCGGGAATAAACTCGTAAAGCTCAGAATCTACTATATAATTGCTTAAGAAGCACCGTAAAAAAAGATACACAGAGGCGCCCACTGCAAAATTCCGTAGGTGTCATTAGGAGAAAAGCAGTCTGTCCAGTATGACTGCTGAATCTGACCACGTATGCTAAGAGAGCAAACGTCGGCAAAGTGGCTATTCTCACATCCAGAGACTGGCATCTTGAACCCTTCAATAGAGCAAACCTGGCAATAATGTACCTCAATAATTACTATGGAGACTCCTACAGCTGAATACTTTAACATAGGTGTTCTCACTTCATAATGCAGCATACCTATTAGAGGCTCTTCTCTTACTTTCACTTCACTAGTGCTAGAGCTGCTAGCGGGCTTCGCATAGTTAGTAAAAGTAGATTCACAACTCACCTTCACTTCAACTTTACTTTTTTTCTGGCCACTCTCACCTGCCGCGATTAACCCTCTTACTCCATTTACTACTAATACTTACCTCAAACTCTGTCTCTCTTGTCATTATGTCGCTAAATCTTACACCTTCAGATCCTAGAAACGCTGAGTGGATTGCTCTTCGTAACAAGCAGATAACTGAGCTACAGAATTTCCAGGACGAAGTTAAAGCTGCGAAAGCTAAGTTCTTCAAAGATATCGAGAAGAAGCGAGAAGATCTCATTGCTACGCATCAACGTGAGAAGAACGACCTTTTGAACAATGAGCAGGCAAACAGCTCAGGAACTGTGCTGCCAAAGAAGAGTGGTGATAGACCTAGGCAGACACCGGCGTCCACCTCCAAGACCTCACCATACACAAGCACGCCTCAGACACGCCTGGTTAAACAGACTATCACTGATGTCATCAATCTTTACTCTGATGACGATGAGCTAGTTTTTCTAGAACAAAGGAACGTACCAGGGTCATCAACATCTGCACCAGCACCAGCTCCAGCACTGCCTAGAGGCAACTCCAAGAAATCCAAGGTACATTCATGGCTCTGCTGAAACTTTACTTCTTATGCACTAACGCTTCTAGTGCTCACCAGAAGCCTCAAAGCCTACGCGTAGAGAAAATGTGCTGCCACAGTCACCGCGGAACTTGGGAGAGCAACAGAGAGCTCGCACCACCACTCTTAATAATGCGAATGTTTCTACAGATCAAACAGAACGTAACACAACTCCACTACCACAAGGAAATTTTGAGATGTCAGATAGAGATGGGTCTCTAGCAGATGCTGCTCAAGGAAAGTCACGACTTGTTTCAGGCTTCAACTTAAAGCTAACATTCTCACAGATTCAGCGCATGTTAAAGAACAGGGCACACGTAAGTCGCAGCAGCACGTCAACAACGTGCTTCCATTATCTCAAAATAGCCCCTCTTTACCACCAGGTATCACCACTAGAGCGCGAAAATCGACTCTCCTAGGCAATGCTTTCAAGAGACCTTTGGTCCCAGTCATACGTAACCCTCTCGCCCAAAATAACAGCGATATCCGAGGAAGCTCCCAGGTGACAACATCTAGCACACACGACTCAAATACTACGCCAAATCAGTGTAGCACCGCAGCCACTTCTCAGACAAATGATTTACGTTCCTATTTTGCCAGGAAGAGCAAAAGAAAAGTAATCGACATCAGTAGTGGCGAAGATGGTGATGAGGACGGTAACGAAGCTGGTGACGAAGATGGTGATGATGGCTCATCCTTTAGCGATGAGGAGGCATCATCCTCAGAAAAAGAAGAAGAAGAGAAGAGAACGAGCACCAAGAGGGCAAAATTGGGGCCTTCTATAACCTCTGCCGCTACAAGTGGGCTATCTCGTACACAGAAGAATCGCTTTGGATTTCAGATCAATCCGCAATCGAAAGTAAGAGCAAACAGCCAAGCAGCAGCATTATCATCACAAACATTGAACAGCACTGCTCAGTCAGGTACACTAAATGTCCCTGTCGCCGTATCTTCGGATTCGACTAACCACATCATTGCAGTTCCGACTCCAGCAATCGCTGCAAAATACTCAAATCGAAAAGCCAAGCTCAACGCAGTCGCAAAGATCGCCCAGATTAGTCAACAAAGCCCTGAGTTCTTCGAACACACCAACACAGGCAATGGGAAAGGCGGCCACAAAGCTACCAGTGTTGAGAAGATGAGCAGTGGGCTACAGAGAATCAGCATTACCCCAGCTCCTCCCAGCAAATATGTTGGAGAGGAAGTAGATGTGCTTGCAGACGATTCAGATGATGAGAGCGTCAGGGCTCCTGGGCGGCGCCGAATTGTCAAAACTACGATAGAAAGAAAAGAGGAAGATGGCAGAAACCCATTTCCTTTGGAGTCAGACTCCAGTAAGCATAAGTTTGTCAATGGTGTAGTATTTCCAACAGATGAGCAGTGCAGTAGCACAAAGCCTCGCATCAAGAGGAGAGAACACTGGCCTTGATACCTATGTGGAGAGGACGGTCACTAATGAAGATGGGTTTTTTTCTAGGCGTTCCTTGGGTCTCAGGCATCTTAGAGCAGCTGTGTTTTCTATCAACGCTTCGATACCAGTGGATTGTACACATCTTGTCTCTTCTGACAACTATGTAGCATCTACAGCATCGAACACAGCGTAACTTGTCAAATGGTATACACAAAATTATTCACTCTTTCCATCTCTTCATCTCTCGTCGTACAGAAATTCATTGCACATCTCAAAATTATCTGTCACTGATCTACATCCGGAGTATAGCCGCTGTTCTCACTATCCGCAGGTAGACAAAGTTACGACTGCCGTCCACGGCACTCGATTCCAGCCACTTACACACCCTCAATATCGAACAGTGGACAGACCATGACTATCCCCCGACACATGTCAGATTGTGACGAAAGAATCTCACACGAGTAGCTGACATATACACACATTACAAAAGGCAACCGAACACGATGAAGGCGAAAAAAAAGTCTAGACAAAACTCATTGTCGATCGCAATATGAATCCTCGAACGCGTTCCTGTCCCCCATTCGTTGCCCTATTCTATCTCCATCCACCATCCTTCTTGCATGTCAGCTCAGCTGAACTGTTCTCCACACACACACACACTCAGACACATGTATGTATGTAAATCCTCCGCCATGCAAGCTGCCAAGAAAGTCAGGCCGAGCACACACACATGTACCCGTAAAACACCGTCTCGTATTCTGTATGTTAAGGCCCCCATGTCATTTTACATAGTCCCGAAGAACTACCAAGCGTAGTCGTATCATGACCTCCTACATTCCTTTTTCGGTGCCTAATTCTCACCCCCACACGCTCACGCGCTCACACGCCTTAGCGAATAGAGAGAAAGAGAAAACAAACTCCGCATCCTCTTTTTTCTCTCTTGCACAATCTACCTCGCTTGTAGTGCAATCTTGGGGTGGTGTTACCCAAGCGTCTATCTCACCGGGGCCCGCTCTACTTAGTGCAAAGGAGAACATGGTAAGCTAGTGTGGGAGAACTTCGGGCGGTACCAGCCGTTGGGGGGGGGGAACGTAATGCCCCCTCAGCCTTGTTCTTTTCCTCTCTCTCTCCCTCCCCTATTTCACGTAACACCTGCTACTTTCAGTATGTAGTATGTATTGTTTCGTCTTATTGCCAAAACTCAACAAAAAAATCAACAACCGCATTCGTATTCCGCACACACGACGCGCCTCGACACGGGTTCTACCTACCTAGCGACGAGACGCAAACATGCATGCGGAGGAATTGCCGCTTAGCGGGCAGTTAGTAGATTGGTGCTAGAGCACGTTGCGGCACTGCACGCACTAGGCGATTTGCTGTTACGGGGGTGGTGGACGAGAAGGACAAGGGTGTTGTGGGTGGGTGTGGGAAAACCGTTTTTTTCCTGCCCTTTGCGTAGCGAGCGGGCGCGCTAGGCAGCGGTTCGGCGATGGGGTCGCAAAGCAGCAACGCGTCATTGCCAAGAGTATGCAAATCTGTCTGTGTGTGTATGTGCGCATTCAAGACATATGTGTGCGTGAGAAGTGGGAACCCGCATTGCTGTACTATACCGCGGAGCATTGTTCGGGGCGAATAAGAAGATGGGGATTGAGTGGCCGAACGCTGGTTCTTCGGCGCAACTGTTTTCCTCGCCGATATGGCCCTTTTCCCTCTGGTCTCCTCGTCCTTGGGCCCAGGTTCGCGGCACGCGGGTACTCAAAGTGCCGGTTCGGGATTGTGTTGCGTGCGCCGTCGGCATCGTATCATGTCTGAATCGCTAGCACGAGGCGGAGATCCTCTCTCTAAGCGTACCTGCGATGATGGCCTTGTTTACGATGATACTAGCATCACGCGAGGCCAGTCGCGTCATGCTTCGCGTTTCATACCTAGCTAGGCATCAAGAACCACGCGATCAGGACAAGGAGAAAAGAGCAAGATATTCGAAGAGCCAAGAAAAACAGATGGAGCAGTTTAAAGCCAGATATGCGGACGACGAGCATATTCGTCAGCATTGTTAAGCCCAGACCGAGAGAAAGCTTACGCAGAGCTACTACCAATAGTTATTTCGCCGCATTGCGCAGTCTCGAGTCACTCACCCATAGATTAAACCCAAGCCGAGCAAAAAAGAAAGGATAACCGTATCTACGGCAATTAGCCTTTCTCGCTTGTTGACAGATCAAAAAAACCGCTTTGATTTCAAAACTTAGTTAAACGAGGCGCAAAAGTCTCCTCCGGCAGTTGAGTGAAAGGGAAAACGCCAGACTAACCAACCATACTATCCCTCTTCCCAAAGCCCATGAATCGCGACCCGAAAAAGAAAGAAAGCCACAAAACTCAAGGCAAGAAGCAAAAAAGAAACTCCTTCAGAAAAAGGAAGGAGAGAACTGACTCTCACCCATCCGTAATCCCTAGTCCCCATTGCAACTATTCCCCCCTTTTTTCTTTTCCCTCTTTCCAAATCAATCCCGTGACGCCACATTCTCCCACGAATCCAAGGTTACCCCTTCCACAACCTTTCCCCCTCCGCTCACTTCGTCCGCGTATAATTCACAAGTACTCGCATCCCAGCAAGGGCCCCCAAATAAATAAAAAACGCCCAAAAGAAGAAAAAAGAAAGGGCGATTCATGATGACGAAACCTCTTCCCCACGACCATTTCCCCTTCCGTTCCGAGAACGAGAAGAAAAAAACGGCTATTTCGCATTCGCAATGCTGTGCTGTGCATCATCCATGTCGATAGGGCGCTAGCGCTTATATGCCAGAGTGGGGAAGAGCAGCGGGGTGGAACGAAAGGTGTGAAAAAAAGATAGGAACGGGAAAGTTGGATTGCAGGGGTCTACCTATGGTTTTGCGTTCTAACCCCTTGGCTTTTTTTTGCTCGAAGAGAGCGCTGCTCATTGAACTCCCACTTTGTGACATTGCCAAAAAGTCATATGTACACATATCTCTCTATCTTCCACGTACCTCATGTACAAAGAATTTTAGAGAAACAGCATTGTGTTTTTTTTTGTACGCAATATATTACAAAGCAACGCAATCCCCCAAAGGGAGCAAGAAAGAGAGGCATGTCTTACTCGACAAGCAACTATCCCGCACTCCACTAAACACCCAGGGTTCCCCCCATCCCTTCCACCCCCCCCCCTCTCTCTGCAATGCAAACTTCCACGCGGCTAAAAAAACGGTTGACGGGGAGTGTCGGGTGAAGGGATCCCCCCGTTCTATTCAGTGGCCGCTTTTCGTGTGAATGAACAACAGCGGCATGGATCGCAGGCAGACGGACGAAGCGGCTAGGGTAAATAAGTCAAAGTAAGCTTTAAGTTACATACCCAACCAACATATACAACTTATGTAAGATTAACAAAAAGCCATGGCACAGAAATCAAGCTATGGTAGAGAGTTCGGCAATTGCCTGTTGATTCTTTCTCTCTCTGTCTCTCTCTCACACACACGCTCATCATCATGCTCATGTCAGATAAATAAACCAAACACTTTCATCCCGGGTATTCTCAAACACTCTTGTTCCCCCATTACCCTATGCTCCTTTCATTTTAGTTTGAAAATGGATTAGAAAGGAAAAAAAAAATCAGACCACTCCGGGGTGAGATGGGGATTGCACTGGCAAAAGATTGCATGAAGCCGATAAAGTCTGGGGGATGCATGCTTATCTCAAAGGTTAAAATGGGGCAAAAGGGCAATCAAACCTGGTTTAGTGAAAAACTTATTTTTATGTGTGTCCGAGTGGACGGGTTCAGATTTTTTAGAGTGAGATAGGGGTGGAAAAGAGAGAACAAGGGTGAAGGAAAAGAAGAGGTGGTAGAACCGAAGGATTACTATTCTTTTTTGATTTTGATATTTTTCTTTTCAACAAAACACGTCTATTATATTTACTTTGATACCAGTACCATTTATCAACTCATAAGATCTACAGTTATATTCCAATAAAAAACAATCGCAGTGCAAAAACATACATGCCAAAAAGGACAGACAGTCGTAACCTGTTTTAAAAAAAAACTCCTATCTCAGACGCTTCGAGTCATGCTTTTCCAATGCTTTCCGTTAATCCCGTTTTTTTATACCATGAGCGCCGACGAGATTGGTATGCACAAAGAACATGCATTGTTGTCCGGCAAACAGTATGTAAATGAGAACAGAGATGAAGAGACAGACTGGGATGTCGCAAGAGGTCATAACTTGCAGACGGGGTATCAAAAGCACTGCTCGACTATGACAAGCGACGGTGCAAACAGGATGCTCGAAAAGGAAACAGACGTTGGCAGACAGATGACAGCGGTCTGAAACCTAAAGCAGCTGATGTGAAACTTGGTTGGGGATAACGGCCGGGTTAATCATGAAGGATTCAATACAGGGTCGAAAAGTGTGGTTGACCCCGGTCGTTCGTAGGGGCTCCCTGCAAGTGCCGAAAAGTGGGTCAGAAGGGCGGCTGCTTGCAACCAGGGCATCAATTTCGGTGATGCGGCCGGAGACTTCTTAAGGAGAGCCCTCGCGCCTCGATTTCTTGACCCTCTCGATTCTTTCGTTCCAACGTCTTTTTCCGACGCGGGTCTCAAAGTGCGGAGCTACTTGGGCCACATCCTGGCCTTGACCCATCATGCTGCTTCTCATCTTGTTGCGGTAAGCATCAACTATCACCGGTTAGTACATCCGTCCTCTTGAATATATGGGTCGCGACTTGGTTACTTACGAGACTTTTGTAGGAACAATGTCCTCCCAGCGAAGACACGACTTTGGCTCCAGCTCATGCGGTATCCAAGGTCATTGAGAGTAATTTCCTTGGATCGCTTCGAACGAGTAAGCCGCGGCTTCGGTACACGCGCCTCGCCATCGAGCGTTGGTACTGGCACAATGGTAGAACCAGCCAAGGGAAAGCTGGGGTCGTCCTCGACATCAGGCTCATCAGCAAAGACCTTGCTGCCACGGGGGCTTGCAGGCGGTGATGTCATTTGCATAGCAAAGTAGCTGCGCGGGAAGACGGAGTTGGACTTGCGGTAGGAGTCTGGCATCTCTTCCATCTTGACCGTGTCAAGAGTAACTCGCACGCGCACTCTAGTTCCTCGCTGCGCATCGTCGACGAGAATAAACTTGCGACGCTTGGAGTCAGGTAGGTCGCCAAAAATGGCTAGTTTGCGTTCTTCTTCATCTTGCTCCTGCTGCTTTGAGACCGCTACACCTGCCGCATGAGGTGGAGGCGGGGGGTGACTTAATCCGTCGTGAATTGGCGGCATACCACCCGTTCCCGCAGCGGAATCGCTGGCAGGGAAGTTAGGGTAGAAATTCTGCGTTGTGCGCACATCCGGGGGCGATTGTTGACCATTTGGCGCTTGGTGGTGATGAGTATGTGATTCACCGTATTCATTGGCTGTACACAAAGAAAGTTAGCTTGCACGTCCGAACAAAAAGGTCATACTTTTTTTCCAAAATCATCCCGCGCAGAACAAAACAACAACCATATGGTGACTATGTGCGTGTGGGTATATGCATACATGCATGGGGTAGGTAGGTAGTATCGAAAGGGGTATTACATCAAAGAGTGTAATAATATACATGCAGTGAAAGAACGACAAGAGGTATCATTTAACAACCAACAACAATTACGCTTTATCACATCACATCTGGTGAAACATACCGCTAACATCATCCGGTCCTCCGTGAGGCCCTCCTGGCCCATCATGGTGATGATGCATCTGGGGACCACCCATGCCCATATTTGGTCGAGGTGGTGCAGTTAGTCCGGCAGAGTTGGGAACCCCGGGCGCACCTGGTCCACCTGGTCCAGCCATGTGGTTACCATGTGTAGCCGATTGGGCTTTCCTCGTGGTCATCTTGGCCATTCTGCGCACGCGACGACTCCTCAGTCGCGGGTCCTGGTTGCTGTTCCGCCAGCTGTCGACGGCGCGTTGAATAAGACCACGCTTTCCGCGTAGGCAAGGGTTGAGTTGTGCAAGAGCCCAGCCAACAGTGTTGCACTCAGTCTCGTAGTGGAGACGGTTGCCCTTGTACTGGTCCTTGGCGCAGCAGGCGCGTGGGTATACACAGTTCTCAGTCTTGAAGTCTTGAGGAAGCTCGTCAACATTGACAGACTCGACGTCACAGCGGATCGTGTACTCCATCTTGACCCTGTCGCGCGAGTACTCAAAGGCAATCCATTGAACGCCGTTTTGGTCTTGTCGAACAACCAAGGGAGTGGTTGCAGGAATGGGACCAGGCGCAGCGTTAGGGTTGACGTTGGGTCCTCCTGGAGGACCTGGGTGCATGTTTGGTGTACCAACAGGGGGTCCTTGAGGCGTGGTTTGAGGTGGGCCTCCCAGTCCTGATGGCGGCCTTTGGAGCGGCGTCTGTGACATTCGTGGCTTTGGGCTTCCAGTCATTCCCGGGGTCTGTGGGTGATGCGGGTGTTGGTGCTGCATCTGCTGGTTTTGCTGATGAGACATGAGCAGAGACTGTGAGGCCATTGGTTGCTGAGGCGCGCTTGAAGGATGCTGTTGGTAAGGCGACTGTTGGGGAACTGGCGCAGATGCATATGGAGTGTAGTACATGGACTGAGGCATCTGGCTAGGCGGTTGCCCGTAAATGGGCCTGCCATGCTGGTCATGCTGAGGAGATTGAACAGAAGCTGGCGAGTTTGACTGTGGGGTGTGATATGAGATTGGTGGGTATCCGCCCCGATTCATCGTTGCGGCCGCCATGAGCTCTGGGGTTTCTGGAGCAAAAGTCAGGTCAACGCGTTCATTTTGATGGAATATACAACGGGGGGCATCCAGGTCTAATCGTCATAAAGGCGGCACTTGCGCGCACGCGTGGCGCGCATTGACAGGGAAGGTCTGAGCTGAAGGATCAGAAAAGAAGCAAAAAGCCAACATACCTGACGAAGAATAGTTGCTGGGCGCACTGTTGGTGCTGTAGGGGCTGGGGTGGTGCTGCGAGTAGTAGGGAACCTCCTGCTGCTGTTGCTGTTGCTGCTGCTGCTGTTGCTGAGGAGGCTGGGGCTGTGGTGGAGGAGGTGGCGGCGGCCCTTGCTGGCTTTGGATCTGTTGCTGAATGTAGGGCGACTGGTGCTGAGGAGGACCTTGTGGGGTTGGGTGCTGGGGCGATGGGTAGTGTGCCTGTGCGGGGCTCTGTGACGGGACCGACTGGTGAGGAGAGTCGGGGTGGTGTTGCTGGTGCTGGTGGACAACGCCAGGCCTAGGATGGTGCACCGGCAGATGATTTGGCGGTGGCAAGCCCTGCGCAGAGTGTGGGTGATGCTGAAAAGACGGACCAGGTCAGTAAGGCTGCAGGTGGCAGAATGGAAAAAGATTGGGCGAAAAAAAGCAAGTGGTGGTAAGAGGCAGCAAAAGAAAAAGGCGAGGTAGGCAAACGAAAGGCCGTATGGTGATGATGATGATCAGTGCAGGGAGTGGCAGCAGGTAGAAGCTTGGTGGAGGTGGGGGCAAGGTGGGGAGGCTGTGGTTGGTTGGTAGACTAGGGTGTAAGGGCAGTGATGTGCTGCAACAAGACCTAGGCGAGGGGCAGGGTCTGGAAAAAGACAGGAGGGTAGGGTATAGTTTATAGGATGGGAAGGGCAGGCTAATGAAGGCAGGGCGGTCTTTTGGCAAGCTTGACAAGACAGCGCAGAGGAGCGGTGGAGGGCGGTGGGCAGCGTAGGGCTACACTATGTGTGCCGGGGTGCCGCTGCTGGCCGTTACGTGACAAGAAGGCGGCGGACTGGCTTCAGAAGCAGCCAGGACAGCGACAGCGATGGTGACAGGGGAGGGGGGGTTTGGGTAGTAGCAGGGCAGCTTGGCGGGAAGGGCGTACCATGTAGGCGAGCAGAGGCGCCGGTGCTGGGGGTGGTGGGTGTTTGTGTGGACGCGGCGTGCAGTGGCTGCTGCAGGATGCAAAGGGCGAGGATGAAGCTGCCAACGGCGGCGAGGGTTTTAGGGACGCGGCTTCAGACGCGCTGGTCGAAACACCAACGGTCGAGGGTGCAGAGGTCGCGACGGGGTTGCAGGTGGAAGCGAGAGCGAGGGCGTGGGCGTGGATGGGATGCGGGAGCGAGGGTGGTGCGGTAGGGGTGGACAAGGAGCAAGAGTCGACTCACCATCTTCTGCGACGCTACAGGCGCCTGGTCTTCCTTATAGTTGCGGGCCCTATCTGGGATTTTTGGCTGCGACATTGTTATGATTGCGCGGTGGGAGTCGACGTCGAAGGATCCGGGCAGCGAGGGTCCGGGCGCTGGTGCGATGGACGAGGATTGCGAAGAGATGCAGTAGCGTGGCCTGCGCAATTTCAGGCGCAGAGCAGGCGGCGCTAGCGACGGCTAGGGAATGGGAGCGAGGCCCAGGGCAGGCAGCGTGTGAGAGAGTGCAGAGGCGGTGGGGCGGCCGCGGTGGAGACGGTCGTTAAATCAACTTGGAACAGCTAACACGGCTCCCGACGCCGGCCCTGTCCCTGGTCTGCTGCACGCTCGGACACAGTCCTGTTTCGAGCGGCCAGCCCGGCTCTGCCACCAGGGATCGCCGCCGAAATGCTGAGAGTGCTGCTGCGCCCAAGGGCCTGCTGCTGTGCGTATACTCCTCCTTCACCTCCCCCCCCGTCCCCGTCCCTGTCGCTCTCCTATGCCTCTCTTTGTCTGTCTGCCCCGACACCCGGTCGCGCCTTCCGAGCGAGCCAGTGAGCCCCCTCACGTGACCCATTCACTGCCACTGCCACTGCCACTGCCTCTGCCTAGCTTTGCTCTTTCCACTACTTACCTACGTACGACGCGTCTCAAGTGGTGGCGGCCGCGCCTGCACGAGTGGGGAAGTCGCCGGCGGCCATGGGGCGGTCAAGGCAAGCGCAGCTTCTATTTTCAAACTCTGCCTAGTGTCTTTGCTTGCTGCCCACGCCGGCGTATGCCAAACCACCACACACGCCAGACGCCCTCCTCACCCACGCCCGCGGCCTCTTCCTGTTCTGTCTTGTCGTGTCAAATCATAATAATCCTCGTTCCATCCATTCCCTTCTGTCCGCACCCGTCTTTTGCCCGGCTCTTGTCTTGCCAAGCACGCGCACATGTCCCGCACTCAGAAAGACTAGAACTACTTTCTACTAACATTACTACACACACGTCTAGCCTGCCTGCTTGCCTACTGCCTGCCGTCATGGGTCGCGCCTGCCCCTCCCCTCCCCTCCCTCCCCTGTCGCTCGGCTAAATCCTTCAAGATGGGCAGTCGCGACCCCACGGTACTTCCCTTACTCCCAAGGCCTGCTGTAGTAAGCATCCCAGCACCATAGCATGCTGGCCCCGGCCCTGCTATAGCAATGCACCATGCGACCTTCATTTCGCCCCTGCAGCCTGTACTCACAATCCTCGCCCTCAGATCACAGCTCGCACCCGCCGCGGCCCTATCGGACGCGTCACTGACCCATTCTCCCACAGTTTTGCCGCGTGCTGTGTGTGGTGTGTGTGAGCGTGTGTGCGCCCTGCCCTCGAGTCCAATTCACCGCCGCTAGTCGACCGTTTGAGCAGTTGCACCACTCTGCCGCCCCGCCCTCTGCTCCGCCATTGGCCGCCGCTGCCGGTGAAGGCAGAAAAACACTTGCTCGCTCCAACGTCGCGTACGGCGACTGGCCGATGCACGCCCGCATCCACCAACCGCCATGTACCGCACTCGAGATCGGCCACGCGATGCTCGTCACGGCAATGCCTCTCGGGAGCAGCGTCATGGGCGGCCTGGTCCAATCGCCGCTGATCGGCCCTGGGACGTTGCATCTCACTCCTGCGAGCTCTGCGGAACCATGACACCGAACACAAACATCTGACCTCAGGGGCGTGGCCGCATCGTCTTCGGCCCATCTTCATCATGCCTGCCCCCGTCAGCCCTGTCCGCCATCCGCAAATGCCCGGTCATGCGGCTATGGGGGACCAAGTACGCTGAATTGCCTGTTACGGGCCTGAGTCGATGCGTCTATAATAAGTTAAATGACAATTTATGCTCAGCGCGCGCACTACGCCTCAAGAAACGTTACTGCAACAATGGGGGCGAATAGCCGCCGAAGCCCATCGTAAGAGCAATTCCATTCTGCTGCACCGCTCGAGCCGACCCCAAAAAAGCCCGTCTCGGTGCATTAACTGCTTCGTCTCCCTATCTTTCCCTGATTGCACGTTTAAAGCCTGCTTTTTTATTATTGTTTTTTCTGGCCTAGAAGACGTACGGCTGCTGACGGCGCCATGTACGCATCTAGTTACCTACATACAGACACCAGCAATGCGCTGCATCCAGGGCCGACCCTCCTTCGCCCTCGTTGTGTCTTTGTGCTTGACAGGCTTCGAGAACGGCTTCCATGGTAAACACTGCGCGCGCCGTCCCATGTCGTGAGCACCCCCTCCCTGTCGCGATCGCGGACATGGGACCTGGGTTCGTAAATGTTCCGAGCGAGGCGTTCGCAGTGCGGAGAAACCCTGGGAGCATGCTTGCTGGCCTTGCTCACGACCAGGGAGATAGGTCAGGTACCGAGCGACCATCAACTCTATTCCAACGCCGCTCCAAACTTGTTTGTCGGGCACTACACAATGCCACTGCACCGCCGGTGAACACGGCTGGCGCACGCGGCTGCGTATGCGCTCGATCCGAAGCGTCAACCTGATGCCGTCTTGCGCATTCTACACTCGACGACGATAATTGCTCTCACCTTGTGCACGCCCAAATCTCCCTGAACGCGCTCAACACTTGGTCCGCCACGGCGCCTCTTGACGCATTGACGGCCGGCCACGCCTGCACTAGTCGCGCAACATCTGGCAGGTCCAGTGTCGATCTTGTAAGCGACCTTTTTGCGCACGCATGCCGTGTTACATCGGCTTTCTGTTCATAGTCCATTTACGACGGTTAGTCGTCGCTGTTCCTCCACACTGTAGCGCAAGCCCATGGCCTGACGGGCGGCGTGCATGTCGGGGGCCCATCAGCTGGTTTGGCCCGTCGAGCGACTCGTGCACATCGCTTGCTCCCCTGTCCCACCGCATCCTCGAATCCTGCTTGTGTGACGTTTGCGAGAACGCTCGCTCGCTAGCTGCCAGCCTGGTCTTTGTCCAATGCCCGTCGTTGGCAGGCTCGGCTGGCCGTTGCCGTGCGGATACATGGCTGACAGGCCATGGGCACGCTTGATCATACCTGACTCTGGTCGTGGCCGTTGTCCACCCGCGGGAAGCAGGGGTGCAGGCCTGCTCAATAACGGTCGACGATCACAATGGACAAGCTGTGCGATACTGCCGCACATGGATCCGACTCGTCCCGTTGGCCTCCTGTCTAGCGCAAAAGGCTGAGAAAAATCGCTACACACCACCCACCACCACACCCCGCTGCGCCTACCGCATTCCCCGATTCGCCCTACCTACATACTTACATAAGTACATATGTACTATGTGCGTCTCTGGATTGCACAGTATCCTTTAGACCTGCCTTATCTGTCGTTTCTTGAAAACACACCAAAACTAAGGCTATCGCCCCAGCCGCAGTGTATACATATCGGGAGATTTACTGCTTATCGAGCAAAAAACCCTAGACTCGGTCCATCAGGCAAATGATCGACACGTATGTAAGCCCATCGTCACAACAATGTTTGCAACAATACGATCCAGTGACGGGAGATTTATGCCCACGGACACCGTCGCGTATACAAGGATAGTTAGTAGTAGGCCATGGTGAGAAATCTAGGCCTCTGTCGCTTCATCATACTTGCACCAACACGCACGAATGAACAGTGACGGCGCGACAACTCGTCACAACCACGTTGAAAGAAAAAAAGAACAGTTTGACAACTAATCTTGGTAACGCAAAACCCCAAGCCACGAACCTGGAGCGAAGATCCCCTGGGCCCCTCGACCTTGCTTCCCGCTGCTTCCCCTTGAGGGTTGTTGCCATTGCAGCCTGGGAGGGTGTCCGATCCCCCAACTTCTAGGACTAGTCGTACTGACCGGGGTGCTTGTTTCGCACGGGAATGCCGAATACGATGCTCAACGTACTGCAATATATCAATGCGTAGGTAGGCATGTGATTATTTCCGTACACACACTCAGTGTATACATGCGTAATCAGATGAAGAAAGAGGTCATGACACGACCTCCAATTTCGCGGGCCATTGGCGAAATGGACTAGACCTTCATTCTGCTTTGAAATGGCCATGCCTCCAGCCGAATTTTCAGTTGCGAACGTTACTGCATAAGCGGCATTTCTGACAGGCAACGCCACGCGGTTGATTGGCTCGACATATGCCGGCTTTAATCATGAGACGAAGTGGACCGTACCATCCCAGCCGATATGTCAGACTTGCGACAAGGTCATGCTGGTCTCCCGCACATACCCTGTGCATACCACGCCGGCAGACGCCACGGATTGGAACGGACACTTGGTGGCAGTGGGAAGATTTGGCCATGAGCTGATTGCTGCAGCAAGTCATCGACGAGGCCAAGTAGTCCTTTCAATGATGTCAATAAGCGCTAGCTGCCGAGTCGCTGCAGCAGGCTGCGACAACAGGATCTGGCCCGCCTCGGCCCACTAGCCATCTAGACCCATCCCTGCGCATCCTTCTTCCATCGCATTCACTCTGCTGCGATATTCCTTGCAGATTTCTACATGGACACTACAGATGCTTTGTAAAATGGTAAGAAGATATACTACCTGCCCAGCGGACGACAGTAGACGAGGCTGGGCGCCACAACCAATCAAAATGTTTAGCAGCTACTAATCTTCTGACGATTAATACCGGAGCGTATATTAGAAACTCGTCGCGTCATGATTAGTCGTGCGCCATTGACTGGATACTGAACTCGCGCATTTTTCACGTTACGCCCACCCCATTGGAAACTGCGATACGGCCCTCCTTTTCTTTTGGCTGCCTATCACGCCCTCTACACTGGCTTTGGGCGAGAAGATGGCAATGCGCGACGGCCACTGGTCAAGATCTTGTTGTTTCTTTTCGCACAATGTCCCTCGATACCGCATTGCATGCGCCCCTCCTGCCTGATCCTGCAAGAAGCAATTCATCGGATGCGTCGCATGGCTGATTCGAACCACATTGCATTCGGGCCTTTTGATGGAAAGCAGCGCGCGCTCTCCGCAAACAATGCCTAAATCAAGTTGACATCATATTGTCTTCGTCCTGGGCTCAGAACGGTGCTGGTGACTGGTCTCTGCCTGTGTTTCACGATACTAGCGGCCTTCTAGCAGCCTTCTAGAATGCGTCCTTAGTAATTGTACTCGCCCATGTCTACTTACGCGCTGCTCGAGTCGCTCGCGTTGCTCGAGTCGAGTAACCTCGCGCAACAGCCTCAATCTCCTCCCTTTTCCGTTTCAAACTACGGAAGCCCATGTCATCATCCCGTCCTTGGCGAATTACCTTATCTGGGTAGTATCGCGAGTCGCGATATCTAAACGTACAGGTAAACGGGATCAGCCCAATATATCCTCAGGCCAGCACTAGCTATCGCGCGGCCTGTGCAAAAGGACAAAGCGCTATAGTTGATGCTCCTGCAAGAGCACACGTATCGCTTGGACGTCTCACAGACATGATCTTCGCCTTGTCCACTTTCTACTTGGAGCGCTGATTGCGACTACCGCACTCTACGCCCCACGCGTATAGCGTGTAACAGTACACCCAGCGAATCAAATGGGGGCAACGCAAAAGTCACTCCACAACACCTCCGAAACTTATTACAGGTGGCTGGGAGACTGTAATTCCAAATATCTTTTTTTTCTACCCTCCCTTCACCTCTGTTTCCCGCCACGATGCTGAGACTGTTGCATCCTCAGGATATGCAAAGATAGGCTCATCAAATGGCTGCGCATAGTCGCAAAAGTACGCGATACATTAGATGAATCGGACGACACCAAGCCTCGCGGAGGGCTATTTTTAAGGTTTCACCAAACGTTGACTGACATATCGGAGAACGTTCTCAAACTCGCGTTTCACGATCGGGGAATGCATTGCCAGCCTAAGCAAAATATCGCCTGACTCCCTGAAGAAAACAGCTCAGTGGTGGAAACTGGGATATTGCTGGGAGCAGCCCGGTATAGGCGACCTGGAACTTTACTCGACTGGGTTCCCCTAACCATGTACGGGATCGAAAATCGTCCGATCTTTCCTTCCGTCTGTACGAGAATCCCGTTGGGTATTCATCGGAAGTCACAACTGTCGTGTCCATCTGTATACAGGGTTGTTCCCCGGATGCGCGTCAAAAGACTTCAAGTAAATCTCGACCGTGGTGCAATCATGGTTCCAAACAGAAGCAGACATAGATGCGCGTGACCCTTTTGATCTTGACGTGCTGTATGAACGGCTCGGTGAAAAGGGCATTTGGCAACGCGCGACAGTGACATATTCTTGGGGCTGTGAAGGATGCATCCACGCGCAGCCTGTTAGGCTTCGAGGAACGTGGCTCCGTCTGCTCCATTCTCTCACACTTTAGGTGCCGAAACAAGATTATCATTAGGGCATTCGTGTCCACTTCTCAATGTACCCAGACCCTTCCATCTTCCCCCGTCGCGAGTACCCACAAAAACTAAACATTCTCAATAGCATGAAGACCTTTGGGTATGCAACGGTTCAACTCTAATTTACGATCGACCCTTATTGTCGGGTGTACCGGTACGCGATAATTACCCAAAGCTGATTGTTTTTACCCTTTTCTTTTCGCTTCCGCTCCCACCTGATATCCTTTGCTATCGGCCCAGCCAAATGTACGCGTCACAACCCCCGCTCAAGTCAGCCCAGCCCGATTACGCGGAACTGAGTTTTACCAAGAAGATCAGCAAATCTGATGCTGTCATTCGGCCCTGCCGCGCAGTTCCGACGAGAGAGCCCTTGCGCCTGGACCCACTGTAAGATGTTAAGGATAGAACAGAGATAGAGAGAGAAAGAGAACGCGAAGGAAAAAACAAGTGAAGCGAATGACACGCAAGTGTGCGGGGAAAGGATTACATGACTTGGACAATCTACGCGCAACCATTGGCTAGTATTTGTAGCAGCATGTTCCTGGTCAATGGGGGTAGCCCACCCAGCCAGCCAGGCGTCTAGGGGGGCCATAAACAAGGCATATTCGGCAGTCTTTTGTGGGGCACCCGACGACATCGACCCTCTCTTTTTTCAGCCCATCAGTCAGTTCTGTTTGTCTGACGCAAGTAAGTCCAAAAGTAAGTAATCAAAGCGAACGGGCATGCAATCAAGGAATCTTATTGTCATCTACGCCCGTTGAACAAGCTTCTCGGGGGGCCATAGTAAGCAAATTTTGGCAGGTAAATCTAGGTTTCCTACAGCCATTCATCTTCCTTTCCCACTTTGTTGGGAATTGGATCTCGTCAGAGGGTTCTCGCTCCGTCGTGTTGAGCATGGGTGAGAGTGGGGAGGGGAAGGGAGGCTGGGGGGGTTGAAGGGGAGGGGGGAATATGGAAGGGGACGAGCGCGGCCTGTCTCGGGCCTGTTTCTGGTCTCCCCCTGCCCTGTCAATGTCAATACCGGCAAGTGTGGGAATGGGCTTTTGCTTCCTTCCACCCCCAGTGCTCATCATCAGCAAGGCCTAAGGGCCCAAAACCCAAGGTCCGGCTGGGCTATTGACCATGGACATGGGGGTGGTGGATGGTGGGAGGGGGAAGGGGGGGGCATTATGGCACGATTTGACACCTGATATCCGCCGTGTCATCGGGCCTTATACCCCCGCCTTGAACAAGATAAACCTCGTTGACTTTCCCGAGCCATGTGCCGATCTTACAGCCTGGGTCTCACTGGCTCAAAGATCATGGACAGCGAGGTTTGGGTTGGTATTGGGTAGGCTTTAGCCTGTGCTCCACCCCCCGTCCTCCCCTTTGTCCGGAGATTTACCCTATACAGTAAGGGGGGAACAGAAGGAAGCAAGCATGCATGCCTACTACATACGAGCAACACTGTGTTTTGAACCAAAACACTTTTGTTGGCAAGTTAGTCCTTCAGTCTCGTTCAGAAACAGTAGGAACACTCAATTATGGCCCCCTCAAACATTTCTATTTGATTACTCTTTACACAATAATGGGGAACTTGGAACCCAAGCCTCTTGGCCCTGTAGCCGCCCAACAAATGGTCATACATATGTGAATCAATCTAGGACTGCAGAAATACATTGCATGTGATGTCTATCTATCTACCTGACAAACAAGCTCGACACTTGTGTATAGTCCTTTCATCACGAAGTGATCAAACCCCCCAATCACTCTAGTCTACGCAAACAAACCACTTTCACTCTTTCTCGATACTCTCTCCATTTCATAGCCCTATTCGAATACCATAGCCACAGACACACATGTAGCACTAATCACTAATCACCCAACACAAAACAAACTTCTTCACATCCCCCATCTTAACCCCGAAATCATCACCCCATAATCATCCTATATTCATCCCCCCCCCCTTCCTTCACAAACTCAAGAGAGAACACTAAACCCACATCCCTCCCTCCCGTGCCCCCCCCCCCAAAACCATCCTAAAAGCTCCCCAAAGATCACAGCGCCTTCCTCCGCGCACTACTCAACCCCCCAACCCCGTCTCCACATCCCCCCGTTTCCGCACAACCTTATTGTTTATTGTCCCTTTCCCCTTTTCTTTTCTTTCGTTCTGTTAACCTTCTGGGGGGCTGGTGAGGGACTAGGGTTGGGGGGGGGGGTACAGGTTTGATCCTTGTTGTTTTGGGGGACAGGACTTGGTCGGGGGGTTTTGATTACTTTACCGGTTTATGTGTGGAAAAGGGGGTGTGTGTACGTGGGTGGAGCTTGGGGAATTGTGTGGTTGTGTGGAGATAGTATGGGGAGGTGGGTTTGGGGGAGTGAAGTGGTGGTAGATGATTTTGACTGTGTGTGTGCTTTTTTATGTGAATTGGAGGTGAGTCTTTGAGGAACTAGTAGGGGTATAGGGATTAGATATATTGCATAGTGAAGAGAATTTATGATGATATTTGGCTTAAAAGTAAAGGAGTTCTTGGACTTCCGTGTTTGGGGGCTTTTTTTGGTTCTCTGTGATGTGATATATCTACTGGTTTGGTTATCAGGCCTGCATCTTTTATACAGTGTGTTTGGGATGTAACAACTGAATTTTTATGCTGAATATGGCTGAGAGAGATGAATATTTGTTCTGTTCTACTTGTTTCGGTTTTTTATCTGCTCGATTAGAGGATATATGAGATTGTGTGGTTCTGTCCTTTAGTCAGGAAGATTGCGTTACAGACGTGTTATTGTGTTTGCAAAATCAGAGAGAAGTCATTCAGAACTCTGTTATGCAGATTTCTATAATAGACCTATTTTTTTTACTACGTTCATATAATAATAAACATCGAGGTGAATTTGGATGCATAGAATTCATAGTATATGTTAATGTGACTGTGTGTATATTGAGGTTGTTGCTGTCAATGTGTCTATTAGCGCATATTTCCTTCACACAATTCATCTTTAAAAAAAACCAGCCACCAACACACAGAACACGATACTAGCAACGAAGGGAATTATATTAAGACCCAAGAACCTAAACTACTGGTTCTACCAAAAAACAGACAGTAGTTTTATTCTTGTAAGTAATCGAATACATCACAGCATGCGCCCCTCACAATTTATCTCATCATAGACAACTCATAAAATTCATACATCGACATACATAACATCGCTTTTTTGATCAAACCAAGAAAAAATCCAACACCACATAAATGTACAATCACGCCTCCTTCTCACCCTCAGGCTCCTCAAACTCCACCAGCGCAGTCCCTGCCTTACACAAATCGCCCTTGCCATGGACAATCCTCTTTACAATACCCTGACTTGGACTCCTGATCACAGTCTCCATCTTCATACTCTCAATCACGACAAGTGCCTGATCTTTCTTAACCTCCTGACCCTCCTCAACTTCGACACGGAGAACCTTGCAGGGCATGGGAGCAAGAACGCTGTTGGCGACATCCTTGACGCCAAGAGCCTTCTTGGTCCACTCGGGCATGGCGAGCCGGAGGCGGTGTTGGCGGCCGAGATGGAAGAGGGTGATGCGGTCTTCGTCGCGGACAAAGGTTGTTTCGAGACGGGTGTGCGGATAGAAGGATGTTAGTTTGTTGCTTGAAGGAGAAAAGGAAGATGTGACGTTGTTGTATGTTTTGTCGCCCACGGTAATGTCGAATTTCTGGGGACTTGTCTGACGGATAGTGACTTTTGTTGCTTTGGCTTCGCCTTTGCCGTCGGCGGGTGTTTCGACGAGGTTGAATTCGCGTTGTTGGTAGGCGCTGCTGAAGCCGAAGCCAACAGCTGTCACGGGCGGTCCTGTCCATACGTCTCCTTTTGACGCAGAGATTTGCTGAAGAGCGAGACCCAGTGCGGCTTGACTGTAGACTTCTGGCGCTGGAGGCTCAGGGGTAAAGAGCTCGCTGTGATGCTCCTGGATGTATCCGGTCTCTACGTCACCGGCGACAAAGTCTGGAGACACACACATACGCTTGATAAATTCGATATTTGTGACAGGGCCAGCAACTTCGTACTCCTCGAGTGCGGCTCGCAGTTTCTGGATTGCTGCTTCGCGTGTGGGGCCTTGGACGATGAGTTTGGCGATCATGGGGTCGTAGTGCGAAGATACTTCATCACCAGCGATGAAGCCAGAGTCGATGCGCACGGTAGAGCTGGGTTGGGGTGTCTTGAGATGAAGCAACAGTCCAGAGTCGGGGATGAAGTTCATGTCTGGGTTCTCGGCGTATATGCGCGCCTCAATGGCATGTCCCCTCTCCTTGATCCTCTGCTCGATTTGTTGCTGGGTAAGGGGCAGTTTTCCACCCTCAGCAACAATAAGCTGCCACCTTACAAGATCTTCGCCAGTAACCATTTCAGTCACGGGATGCTCGACCTGCAGTCTAGTGTTCATCTCCATGAAGAAGAATTCACCCGTATCGTTGTCGAAGATGAACTCGACAGTTCCTGCTCCTTCGTAGCCCACGGCAAGAGCAGCCTGTCTAGCCTTCTCCCAGATATCTTGTCTGACGGCCTCGTCCAAGTGGGGGGCCGGAGACTCCTCAAGAATTTTCTGGTGTCGGCGTTGGATACTGCAATCTCTCTCGCCCAATGCGACGCAATTTCCATGCTTGTCGGCGAAGACCTGGATTTCAATGTGGCGCGGTGTGGTGATGTACTTCTCGACCAGCATGACTTCATCTCCAAAGGAATTGCGCGCTTCTGACTTTGCAGAGGCTAGTTGATCAAGGAATTCCGACTCGTCCTTGACAATGCGCATGCCCTTGCCGCCTCCACCTTTGACGGCCTTGAGGAGCACGGGATAGCCGATGCTGGCTGCTTGTTCCTTGAGGTACTCTGGATCTTGGTTGGAGCCATGGTATCCGGGAATGCAGGGAACGCCGGCTTTGGTCATAATGTCTTTGGACTCACTTCTGCATGTTAGCTAGCATGGCTATATTGGATGGTCAGGGCGCACCTCTTGCTTCCCATGGACTCGATTGCTTTCCATGGGGGACCAATGAAGGTCAAGCCCGCATCTGTACATTTTCTCGCAAAGGTCGGGTTCTCGCTCAACTACAGTGCCCGTTAGTGTCATGCCATGTCGGTGTTTGGAGCGACGTACGAAGCCGTAGCCCGGATGTATACCCTGGCAGCCCTGCTCCTTTGCAATCTGTATTATGCGATCGCCATCGAGATATGCAGAGGGGTCGCCGAGATTGATGGCATAGGGCGAGCTGAGGGCATGCTGTGACCGGGCATCGGGGTCTGTGTAGAGGGTTGTGGTCCGGATGCCGTATTCTGATGCTGTGCGGCCGACTCGTCTAAGACCATGTCAGATGCTTTGCTTGCTCGTCCACAGCATGAGGCTTACAATGCAATTTCCCCACGATTTGCTATGAGCACAGAGGTAAGCGACTTGGGTGTGGGCGCAGCGGTGGAATTGCAGCGGATGCCATTGGGAGCAAGCAGCTGGCGCGAAAGGTGAGTAGACTTGCGAAAGGCACGCATGGTCACGAATGCAGTCTATGGAGCAGATGAGATGGACAGATTGATTGACTGGTAGACTGCTTGACTGACTGCACAGCTACAAAAAAGTAAAGCACATGCGGTGCTGAGCCATGGAATGTGTGCGAGGAGCCTCGGTGTCGTGTTAAGCCGCGTGGAGCCGGGCGACGTCAATACGCGGGGAAGAGGCACGCGCAAACGGGAGCGGGCAGTCGCACTCCACGCCAGCAACTCAATGGGGAAGGAGCGTGGGTGACGTGGGACGGCGCCAGCCAGCTCACTGTTGCTTGTTGCCCGTCGCGCTTTCCTCGAGAATGCGCCACTCATCATCGCGCTGATGGTCCCCGTGCGCCTGAATGCGTCTTCTGCGCGCGCCCGCGTCATAGCCTCCACTTACTCGGACTGCACCCTCGACAAGGACACGCCCCATCTCCATCCACTATGAGCGACTACGAAGACGAGTACGACTACGACGATGCCGAGTTCTTCTACGTCGAAGATGAGTACATGGCAGCCGACGACCTCGCAGAGCACGCCGTAGCCTCGCCCCCACCGGCCACATGCGGCGACGAAGACATGGAAGAAGACTGGGACCGCTTCGATTACTTCAACGATCTCGAGTACGCCTCCGACGGCTACGATGACACTACTTTCCAGCCGCTCGACGTCAAGGGCGCAAAGGCGGGCTCCAAGAGGAAACGGCCAGTACGCCGTCCAGTTAGGAAGAGCAAGGCCGACACCAACACAAGTACGGACGCGGAACCCGCTGCACCAACTCACTCGCCAATTGTCTGGCGCTCTCAGGCAGACCGTGGCGTGAAACCCAAAGCACTCGAGGACAACGCGCAGCCATATGCCCTCTTCAAGAACTGGCGTGAGACGCTCGCCAATATACCAGAATGGGCAAAGGGGTCGCCGCCAACCTCACCAGGCGCACCCTCAATTCCGTCAGAAAAAGGAAAGGGCAAAATGGCTTTTGTTACAGAGCCCGCGTCGCCGCCCTACGACGAGGACGAAGAAGAGGGCCACGACGAGGCTACAAGTGAACAAGGACAAGGCATCTCTCAGGAGGCTCTTTTAGCAGCCCTACAGCGTCAACTCGCTGCTGCCGGCGGTCCA